ATTCAGGGTGATTTTTTTTACTTTCTCCACATCAATAATTAGAATCATTTTTTGATTACTACATACAATGCATACTTTGATTATCTACTTGAATCAAAGAGGAGTCGATTCTATTTAATGTGTATGACTTAATTAACGTACTCGTTAATTGACTGTAGGCACTTAGATTTAATCTCGGCAGACAGACAAAGAGATAGTGGAAGCTTTCAAGGTATAAAATACGCATCAGCTAATCAGGCTTATGCATATAATATCTATACTTAGAGAATATATATTCAGGGTATTTGTTAGACAAAGGAGGCATTCATTATCTTTGTTAGCAACATTCGTCAGCGCTTCTATGGCAGTTATTTTAAAGTAAATATCTGTAGTTAGAAATAACTTCATAAACTACTTTTCTTAAAGTGTGCAAATAAGTTTTGATAATCTAATATATACTCTTACGTGGCTTCCAAATTTTGGCTGTATTTCTTTTCTGCCGGTGGCAACGTTTGCTTTGTTTTGTTTACGTTAATATTTCTCTTACACGGCGAATCGACCAATGATTGCCGCTAAAAATGTCACATGCTAAATCTAGCTGAGGTGGCTCAACATATTGCGCTTTTAAAAACGGAAACGGAAAAAATCAGAGAGCATCAGCTGCGGCAATCTCATACTGTTAAGCTAGGCAGAAGTTAGTAGTCTTTGTCGATAGATCTCTATTTTAGTAATTTGTCGAAAGCACTTTTTGTCACGAATTTATATATTACGAATTTACTTGACGATTCTTGATTTATGTCATGAATTATACTATAGCACATTTCTAATAGGTTTAACAAATTACATGTCATTTATTTGAATTCAAATTTATTTTGATGACTTAGCATTTACTAAAAAGAAGTAATTTTTTTTTTTTTTTAAAAAGTTGTTATAGGGATTTGAATGATTGCTTTGAATTCTTAGAATTTTGTGCATTTGAAATGCACCTAAGTTAGTAGAGAGCGAAGTGAGCTTGGTTAGCGAAGCAAACCATATAAGATAGCGTAGCAATTTTCGGGGGTTGGCGAGCGTTAGCGAGCAGGGGGCGCAGCCACTAGTAATAAAAATTAAATGAGGTAGAAAAAAATTATGATAGCATTATTGCAATCAGGAGTTATAACCCTTTTTGGATAGAATTTCATAAACGTCACAACATAGTCACAACCGTTGTAGATTGCAAAAACTGCATCATTTGATGTTTTACAGCCTATCGTCTAATACGTTAGATGAAATTCGTTTTCAATTCCAGCCAATGTTCTTGATTTTCAATTCTAGTCAATATTTGTTTCTAAAGACTTCGCTAAATTCTTTTATTTCTTCAGTATTCACATTTGTATTAAAATCACTGATCAAGGCAGTCATTATGAAAAAGTTAAACTTAAAAGTACTTTAAGTAAACGGTAAAATCCTTGAATAGCCCACATCTTGGCGGCTTTTTGAAATTTCGTCAAATTAGCGATTATGACTGGGATCAACGTTGCTTTTTGATTATTAAAAAAAAATAATAATTTAAATTATTACAAACTTATTCAAATATTTTTATTAGAATAAAAATTTTTTAAAGTATTTAATATGATATAATCTAAATTGTGAGTTAATTTTTTGAACAAAATTCCTCTAATGTCAACATAGTGTTCCGTTGTTATTAAAACATGTGGCTGCGGCTTGCTAATTTCATATTATATTTTATTTTACTAGTGGGCTGCGCCCCCTGTTAGCTAACGCTCGCCAACACCCGAAAATTGCTACGCAATCTTATATGGTTTGCTTCACTCGCTACCAACTTAGGTACATTGCAAATGCACAAAATTCTAAGAATTCAAAACAATCATTCAAATCCATATAACAACTTTTTTTTAAAAAAAAAATTACATCTTTTTTGTAAATACTAAGTCATTAAAATAAATTTGAATTCAAATAAATGACACGTAATTCGTTAAACTTATTAGAAATGTGTTATAGTATAAAATCTGAAGATAAAATTTCTAAAACTGATACCTCTTTAAAAAAGGTTAAAATTTTGGCTATAATTAAGTCTATTAAAAATTGAAATAAGTGAATTGCAATGGAAAAACCTGCATAAACAAATAAATTCTAGTAAAACAAATAAATTCGTAATATATAAATTCGTGAAAAAAAGCGCTTTCGACAAAATACTAAAATAGAGATCTATCGACAAAGACTACTCACTTCTGCCTAGCTTATGCTCTCTCTGGTTATTTCAGTTTCCGTTTTTAAAAGCGCTATATGTTGAGCCATCTCAGCTAGATTTGGCATGTGACATTTTTAGCGGCAATCATGGGTCGATTTTCTAGCGTTGCCATTCGGGAAGTTGTAATAAGGCTTTTTTTTTGTCGCCGTGTAAGAGAAATATATATATACAGATTTTACGGATTCTAAGAAGCATAAAATATGAATAAAGAAAGTTCCTTCATCACACATCTTTTAAAAGTAAATATATGCAACTTTCTTTCGGAAATCAATGTCCATTTTGTGTATTATTTCACCTGTGGAACAATTTAATATTTACGAACACATAACGCATAAAACATTTATGGAAACTGCTACCTGATTTTCCCCCACATGCTCACAAAACACTAGACAGCACATAAAAAAAATAAACTGAAAGTAACTTTACATAAACATGATTATTTTCCTAAAATAAGGACATTTCATCATTCATGCTTACGTAGGTGGGCAGATAAGAGTAGGTGGATGAATAGGATTTGCTCTAGAATTACAAACGAAAGGGTCTTATTATGTTTAATTAACTCGGGCGTGGAATATAAGATTTTCTAATTTTCTTTTCACAATTATTCGCTCCTTTTGCACGGTTTTTGAGAAATTATTACCCTCCTTGGGTTATTTAAAGGTGATACCTCTACAATAAGAGAGAGAGAGCACATTATAAACAGGTGTTTATTACGTTGTGAAGACAGCTGGAATTGAAATTGAAATCGAATTAATGAAAGCTCTTAGAAAAATTTAATTAAATTTTTATACGAAAAAAAAACGTGTTTACATCTAGGAAATTCGTTTCATATTAATGAACACAATAACATTGTATTTTTTGAATAAATGATACAAGTATTTAATTGAGTTATTAATTGATTTAGAATTTTTCTTTTATATAAAAAATTATATTTTCATGGATTAATGAGTGGCTTTCTCTTAATTTAATTTTTAAATAAAGATTGCGGGGAAGATGTGACTGCGATATTTTTTATTTTATTTAAGGAGGCAGTGGACTTGAAAAATTATTACATTTGTTTTTGATATAAGAAACCTAATTTTTATATGTAACATATAAAGTATCTAATTCACCGAATTGCAAAAAAAAATGCAGAATTAAAGATAAAAAAAAAAACATATTTAATTACAAGTTACAAAAAAATGTCTACATTTCTTTAAAAAAAAATTTTTTATATGAAGAAATTGGTAAAAAAATCGCAATTTTGTCAAAAATAAATGTTTATATAGACAAAAAAATTTCAATCTTCATAAAGTTTCATTAATTGATTTGCCAGTAAGAAAAGGACTTTTCGATTAATTTTCGTATTAATGTTTTCATTTTCAGTATTATTTTGTTCTTTTCTGCCCAGTCAGAAGTGTCTAAAAATCTCTTCAAATTTAAAATTTTTAAACTTTCTGCCTTTACACTGTAAAAATGGAGGTGGAATATGACAGTGGTAAGATATGATTTCCAGCGTTCACATGCAATTTGAAAGATGTATTTTTAATCGAAACACTTAAAATTGAATAAGCTGACACCAAACTTCTGCGTTTCGTCTCAATACGAGAATTATTTTCAATCCCAATACACCAATGCTGGAGCCCTTTGAATTTTTCCAGAAGTTTGTTTACAATTCAGAATGAGCTGACATGAGTTTGTTGTGGTTCACGTAACAAAATAAAACAAAAAACCGCTATTTAAATATATATACTGGTTTTTAGTTGGATAAAAGATATACATTTTATTTCTAAATTTCTAAGAACTTGCATGAAATTATTTTATAATGTACCCAAATCTAAATTTTTGATGGTTTCCTATTGATGGACCAACATAATCATGATGGTAACCATTAATAATTCCATCATAAATCATAATATTTTTTTATGGTGACCAACATAAGTAACCATCACCTTAATGTACGAATTTGAACTGATTTATGATGGTCCAACATAATAGCAACTTATTTTGATGTTTTTTTCTTGCTAAACCATCAGAAAATTCCATAGTTTCTTAGAAATCAAATGTTGGAACGATCATGAACAACCATCCTCTCAATGTAGGAATTCGGACCGATTTATGATGGTACAACATCAAAAAGCAAATTCTTTTGATGGTATATTCCTGAAAACCAACAAGAATTTCTATTAAACTATCTTGAAAATTTATAATTGGAGCCATTATGGACCATCACGGATCATCAAGGATTGTTGGTCCATAAGAATCAATCTTCTCTTGATGGTTAACCATCATGTTATTGTAGTAGCGTTTTCCATCATGGAATGATGGAAGTTTGTTGGCATATCAAAAACCAGGAACACATAAGGGAAAGTGTTGGATGATGGTGACCATCAAATGATGTTATACCAGTTGGAGTCGCAATGAAACCAACATAAACCGTCAAGAAATTTTAATGGGACCAGCAGGAATTTTGACTTGGGTATAGTTTAGGTGTATTTTATAATGTTAAGTTTCTATCCGCTTCCATTCTGTCAAGCCTAATTCAAATTCATCTTCATGTTCTCTATTGACTTTCTTTTTCTTAATCAGAATAGAGTAATTATTTTTACTCCACCTCCCCAGCCTGTTTTAAATCATGCATCACCTATAAACCATTATATCTATGAGAAAGAGTAAGGTTTTTATCCAATGTTCAAATGTTCTGTTCAAATTGTTGTTCCAATTTTCTAATGTATTAGAGTGTTTTCTAAGAGTATGCTTCCCTCTTCTCTTTACACATGCTGTGGTTCAGAGTCCAGTGCCTTGCCAACCCTTCACCTCAAAGTTACCCAAAATGGGACAGCCTGACCTGGACTTCACGGCACCGGAAGTGCAGGCCAACTCCACCTGCTCACCCCTCAGCGACATGTTCTCACTGGGAATGCTCATATGTGCTGTCTTCAACAACGGACGCTCACTCATAGACGCCAACCATTCTGCCACTAACTACAACAAGCAACTCGAGCTGGTCAGTATCTTCTTCCTCTTTTTTTTTATAAAGGGCCAATCTCACTGCATGCGACTCACGCCTCTCAGATAACCATCAAGAGAGAACGTGAACCTGATTGGTGTAATATATTCTCCCACGAAAAATTCACCAATCGGGTAATTCTTCTCTCCTGAAGGCCATAGGATGTGCGTGAAACGCATGCAATAAGAACAGTTCTTAAGTGGCAAGTGTTCTAAATATAATATAGATCATACGAATGGATAAGGAATTAATATGAAATCTCTGACTATGAATCATGAAAAATATTGTTTTTAAACTTTAAGGATGCCGATTATTTCAAAATTAAAACTTTAAATTTGATTTTCTTAAAAAAAACTTACAACTTTAAAATTTGGTATCCAAGTTTAATATCATACATTTTAATGAATAAAATTAAACAAAAATTATTCAATAATATTGATTAGTTACTGAATTAATTCCGGATTAGGACATTTTGGACATATAATTCGTCGTAGGTTAACTGGAACGAAGTTTTTTTGTTCTACCTAGAGGTGACTGATTATCCGCGTATGATTTTTATTGTATGAAAAATATATTTTATGATGCTTAAGCTAAACTCTATGTTTAGAGCAGTTTTGAATGAGTTCCATATAGTTTCCAAGCTTAAAATTTTTTTAATAGGTTTGTAAAGAAAAACTGAAACTAACATTCTTCCTACTTCTGTGACTGTCCACTCGCTAATGCTGAAAGCATGCTTAGTGTAGCGCCATGTGTAACCCATTTCGATCTCCAATACAATACGAAATGTACGATGGAATAATATAAAATTAACGATGGAATTTCGCATAATATAAATTATAATTCAGGGCTCGTAAAACCACCCGTCCGCCCGTCCTCGGCCAGGGCTAAAGAGAATAGAAGGGCTAGTTCACTCCGCTCTTAGAGCTGAAGCTACGATTTCCCTCCTCATGACGTCATTGTGTCCACAGATCTCGGAAGATCGCAAGCAAAGATATTATGATAACTTTGCATCTTTCTCTTTGTAAAAATAAGTTAGACTTTTTCTGGTTATTAGCTTTCAAACTTTACGTAATTAGCACATTATTTCCGTTCTTAAACATAGTTCAAAAAATCTTTCTTGGTCATTATATTTAAAAAAATACCATTTTAAACTTATAAAAATGCTTTACTAGTTGGCGAAAAGGACACTATAAATACTTTATTTTAAAAAGTTCAGTTTTAACTTTAATTAAGAAAAATGAAAGCATATATCGACACTTTTTTTATCTACATATTCTTTTATAACAATATGTAGTGTTAAATTTAGAATCCCTGATTTTAAAATATGCCGTTCATAGCAATTTGTTCATACTTAATCATTAGGAAACATCAACCTTAAACGCTAATTACTGAAACAAAATAATAATTTAGGTTCATAATGACATTAGAAATTTCTTCATGAATAACTTTTTGATGGAACTAACCCGCATTTGTATTACATGGAGAAGAAACCCCGGAAAGCCTCCCATGATTAGCGTGACGGTAAGGGGACTCTAACCCATGCCCCGTCTACCGCAGAGGATATTTCACGTCCGCACTGTGGTCGGTGCCAGCCGGATACGGAATTCGTATCGACTGGGATTCGAACCGGTTCGCCGAATTAGAAGGCGAACGCTCTATCCCCTGAGCCATCACGGCAAAAAACCTTCCTGTCCCTTTGTTAGTAAAGATTTAGCAAATCACTTCAACCTTCCCTTTAAGTGCTTACGTAATACATGAACGGTCCCTAAAAAGCAAATTAAGAATTTACTTTTGCACAAATGAAAACCTTTCATTTTTTCTTATTTAATCAGCAACGCGTGTTGTGATGCAACTGTTTATGAATGAGTAACAGTTCTGTGAATTTCAAAAAAAAAAATAAAATAAAATAATTTCAGAGAAAAGTTTTGGCCAAAAAATAAAACAATTATTTCAGGTGTCCACCCCTATTTCTTCTCCCTCCCCTACAACATTACTATGTTACATTGACTCAATAATTAGCTTGTTTTTTTACTATCCTGTTTTGGAGAGTAGATGTTATTTAAGAAAATGTAGATTAATCTCAACAATTGAATTTTTTTTTTTTTTCTATTTCTCCTCATTTGCTTTCCTCATCCTCTTAAAGTAGTTTCCTAAAGATAAACCAGATTTACCCTGTCTTTTTTTGGGGGGGGGGAGGGGAAGAGAGAAATTAAGACAGATTGTGCAGGATTACTTTGTCCTTCTTAATCCCAACACCTTCCTCATCGTGTCTAGTGTCCAAATCACACGTCCGAAAAAGCATTTCGCAAATTAGATTAGGTACTTCATTACTTCAAATACAGAATAATCAGTTAATTCTCCAAAAAAAAGTTTCTATTTGGACATTAGCCTGCACTTAAGTAGAAGAATACAAAAATATTGAGGGAAGTCTGGATATTGCTTTTTCTTAAGTCTCACGCGAATTCTGGTTTAGCAGTGATTTTGATTGATAAGATGTGAAGAAAGAGATTGAAATTACAGAGTGCGTAGCGTTTCTGAAAAGTGCTTAATGGTGCACATTTTCGTTTTTTAAAAGCTCTTAAAGGGGCTTTTTTCATTGGGTGTTTTCAAAAATTGCTTAATTTTCCCTTTTCAAAATAAGATTTCTCTTTTACTATGTTGATTTTTGCTTTGAATTATGCAAAAAAGACACAGTTCACATTGTTCTATTCAACGTTTTCATAATTAATTCAACCCCAATTTATTTCGGCTTATAGTTAGTCCGTAGCGTATGAAAAACAGGATTTTTGACAATTGCCAGAAACAATGCCAAAAGATTTTATTTTTTGTGACATGACGGTTAAAACAAGATAAAACCGTCGATTGTCAAAAACTTTCCAACTCTGTCTAATTATGATATTTTGTTTAAGTGCTAAAAATATTTTTTGAGTGAAAAAATAAAGCACTTAAAAGGTGCTTATTTTTTGTATAATTTGGCTACGCACCCTGAATTGGGCGAAGCTGAAACTTAGCCATCTGCCAAACGAAGTATTGTTTCTGGTCTGTTTTTACGTAGAATTGAATGAAACCGAAATAAGTCATTAGAACTCACATTACAGCTTTAAAGCTACTAAGGTTTTTGAAGACAATTCAAATTTTCGACCTATATCTACTTGATCATCAGATATTGCTACTTAGACGAGCAAAGAACTGAACTGTGGTGTAACTACCACTGCAAATATTAAATGCCAAAAGTTTTACTAGTTGTAAATTATTCAAGTTAAAAAAGTACAATTATTGTACTTCTACCTATTTAAGCATCTGCTATTGTAATCTAGATATGTAGAACAATGTTTTTTTTTTATGTCTGGCATTTGGGTCTATTTCCTTTTCCATATATATATATATACTAGGAGGCTTCGCCCCCTGCTCGCTGGCGCTCACCAACCCCCGGAACTGCTTTCTCAGTTCATTTCGGATTGCTTCGCAATCCAATGCTCGCTTTGCTCGCTCATTGGATACGTTCTTAACGTCTAGTTTTTGTATACTTTTTTGAATACTGAAGTTCCGAAAACTTTTCACTGTAGAAAATTCTAAACCTGTACATTTCAATATTAATTTGAAATTGCAAACAGTTCACATATTTTTCTTAATCACACTATTCTAAATTTCAGTTGTTGAGAAAAGTAACTGTTGTAAGTTTTGTTTTAAAGTCTTTCCCACCAGAGGGCTAAAGCCATGTGTTGTAAAACAATATGAAATAGTAGTCTGCCACTGAACGCCGGATGTAAAGCATCGGCTTTGATGAAGATAATTTTGTATTTTTAATTCTCTGAAGGGCGCCACCTTAATAATATGGAATTTGTAAAATAAATGTATATATTTTTGATTGTTGATGAAGCCCATCATTTTGTGTTTTCATCAGTGTTCAGAAGCAGAACAACTATAAGTTTTTTATTTTATCACAAAAAAATAAAATGTATAAAAAACAAAGAAAAGAGTAAGAAAATGAGTATAGTCATAGAAAAAGTTAAAATTATAATATAGTATTTGTCAGTTAAAATAAAACTTTTTGTTTAAGTCATTGCTAACAATTCAAATTTCTCCGAGGCAATTCTAAAGTATAAATTAAGGTAGTATTGTTAAGTTGAAACACAATATTTTTAGTTTTGATGTCAACAATACAATTCAATTTTTCACAAAAACGATTGTTTCCATTGTTAAGTTCAATGTCAACAATTCAAATTTTTCTGAGGCAACTCTTAACCTCTAAATATTATTTTTTTTATGTACACATTTCTAAATGTCAGTATTCAACCACAAAACAACTTAAAGTCCTCAAATTTAGCATGAAGTTGTAAAATGTAATGAAAGAGGGTCATAGCAATAATGAAAGTAGAAGTAAAGTTAGTACTGTAAAATTAAAACAATATTTTTAATCAATGAGCCAAGTTCTTCAAGAAGCAGTTGTAGAAGTAGGTTGTTTATTTAAAACTTTTTATAGAATTTCTTTAAGAACACAATTGTTAATTTGGGCATTTGGCGATACAACACTTTTAGAATTGAAGGATTTGTTACGTCAAGCGCTCAGGTATCATAATTTTGATCTAGTTGCGCTTCTATGTCATTTTGATTTATGTTGCTAAGTTAACTTTCAAAAAATTCTATGGCTGGCAACAGCATTTTTATTTTTTAAGTTGTTTATTTTTATTTCTTTTAGAATTCGTTATTTTTTTAGCGAAATGTTTTTTAACCTAACAGAATTCTTTGCCGACTGTTTTCTCTATGAATGAAGAAAATAAAGTAAATATTTAACTGTTGTGAAAAGAATCTTATTTAGTTGTACAAAGTACTTCAGCCAAAATTTGGGAGCCACGTAAGAGAATTATATATATTAGATCAGAAACACATCATTAAAAGGCAGAATGCTTTGGTGTTTTCAAAACAAAGCAAACGTTGCCACCGGCGGAAAAGAAATATAGCCAAAATTTGGGAGCCACGTAAGAGAATTATATATA